GCACCAGACGCCTTTTGCCGTTGCATGAGTGCCTCTGTCAGAGTTTGTCTTGCATCAGAGCAATGTGTGTGACACTCTGCAGCCCTGTTGTGGCAAAGTCAGCGACTCGGTGGATGGCCCACAAGAAGCTATCTGCGCTACAGGAGGCCATTGCACTGAATCCCATACCCGCCCTCACCGTCAGTTTCAACAGGTCAATCTGGTCTTGGGCTTGCTCGATTTCGTTTGTGCATGCGCTCTTCGATCGAGCCGGGCGCCTATATCAACAGCTGTTTCTGACAGTGCTTGGAAGCAATCTCTTCTGCTGTATTGGTATGTGCCCTGGAGAGCTGTACATGATACCCACTTGCATTGCAGCCACTATGCTACATGCTGTGCTCCGATGTTTATCTTCAAGATTGCAGACAGCTGTGTGTGTTTCAGAGCAGATGTTCCTAGTGCAGTGGTATGCACGTGGTATTTTGTATCCATGGTCAGCGGCAAGTTGTATGCATAATTCCTTCTGTGGTGTGCTGAACTGGAGTATTTCTCTGGTTACCTGGTACCCGGTCTTGCAATGGCTGGAAGCTCTGATTATAGCGATTTGCCTACTCAAATCAGGCAGGAGCTGGCTTCGCAGCGTGTACACCAGTCTCTATATGAAATTGATGAGTTTGCTGATCCGGTTGAAGCCGTGGCTGCTGCCCCTGGACTGGATGCGGTGGCTGAGCCATTGGTGCCACATGTGGTCTCCAGACCTCCGGCTGGTGCTGGCTCCTATCCGAGCACCTTCGATACAGCTCGCTTCTCAACGGAGCCATTGGTTAAGGCCAAGGCCAAGCCCAGACCTTCTCAGGCTCCACATGTGCGGTTGGCTGGTTCTCTACGAGGACATAACAAGGGCGCTCTCCGCATTGTTCGCGTCCATAAGGCCCCGCGAACTCGACCAAAAGGCCGAGCCCAGGGCTTTGCCTTCTTGTGGAGAGGAGGTATGCAATTGCGCAGGCCTGCCTCTAGCAGCACGGCCACTCAGACGGATCCAGTGCCTCTCAGCCCTCTGCGACCAATGGTGCAACGACCATCCGTGGACTTCAATGACCCTGATCTATCCGACAACTCTGATGCATTGGGCTATGACTGCAATTCGAGTTCCGACTCTGAAAGGCTGTCTGCCATTGCACGCAATATTGTCAGTCAAGACAATCCCTCCGACAACGACTGACATATTTGTATCTTCTGTGGCCTTTGCCAGGGCTCAGCTGCAGTGGAATACACTGGCACTATTTGATGGAACGTCGGTCATAGCATCTGTATTTTTCTCTGAGACTTGCAATTGGCAGATTGAAAAATGGGTGTGGGCCTGCTTATATTCTGCTGTACACGCAAGCAACTTGGAGCGAGAGCTTTCCTATTGGTACCTCCTTCTCGCTCAGGTTGATTGGGACTGCAAATGTCACAGCCTGAGCCCTCTTCGATGGTACACGCCTGCAGCTGTATGCTCTGTGCCCTGGTGGTATATATTTTCTCCGGCAGCACCCAACTATGCCCAGGTCGTGTGCCGCTCGATACAATGTATTCACCCAGACTTGTGCCGATTGCTGCCCGACTTTTATGTGTCATTCGTCTGGATTTGGTGGTATGTCCTCGCGATTGCAATGGCAATATCGATGTTCCGATGGCAGGTCTTATCTCTTCTGACGCTCCTTGTCCCAGTGCAGCTGGCCATCTGGATGTATTGGTGTGATGGTTTTCGGTCGATGACAACCCGACCTACCTGCCAGGTACGATTCCACCTCTACACCCTACACAGCCGTTGTTCAATCTGGCTGGTGACTCAGCCGGCTCACTGCACCCTTCTGATCTTCTGCACTCGGCTGGTTGTGTGGAGCTTGAAGCACTGTCACGATATTTGGTCTGCAGTCTGGTTTCTCCAGTCATGGGAGCATGTGAGAGACATTATACACATGCCAGTCATGCCGATTGTGTCTGGGAAGCAACGTCTAGGTGTTTGGCTGCATACAATTTATTCTCTGTTTCCCTGGCTGGGTCAACACATCACTTTAGCTCGGAGTCGCCTGCTTGCTATGTACTCTCCTGCGCACCCCGAGCCCAAAAAGGCCTGGGATCAAAGGCCAACCTTACAAAGGAAGAGGCCGCGACCTTCTACGCCACCACCGACAAGCACTCGAGTCCCTCTCCAACGCCGAAGAAGGATCCTTCAGGTGCAGGGTGCCAGGCTACGCAAGCCCCTCCCTCGTCTGCGGCGGTCAGCAGAAGCTGTACCGCCAAGTGCTTCCAGCTCGACACCCTTGATTCTCACAGATGCCACGGAGACAGGGAGCCGTCGTTCTGCGAAGCCGGCTCCAAACAGCTCTTTGCGAAAGATGTCGGCCAAGGAAATCAGGTCCATGAAACGGGCCCAGAAGGCAGCCACCAAAGAGTACAACAAGATGAAGGAGGCCCGCGAAGAGAAGGTGACCGACACTGGGGACACTGAGGATAAGGAAATGCCTGAGCCTGCATCAGTGGCTACGGTTGATCAGACTCTCTCAGCCGACTCCAAACACCGAGCGCGCCCGCGGAAGGCCATTTCCTCAAAGACTCCAAAGCCTGTGCCTTCGCAGCCTAAGCCTTCTGGCGGCAAGAAAGGTTCCATTCGAGAATCTTTTGCGCGCAGCGGCCGCATAGATCCTGAAGCAGCGCCTATTCTGCCAGCGACAACAGCCAGGGCTGAGGGGACCTCTGGTACTACCGGTGGTACCTCTCGTACACACGCTGAAGCCTCTTCCTCTTCCTCAATGGTGCCACCCGGGCAGGATGACATCATGATTCAACGACAACAGCAGCTTCTGGCCATGCAGCAATACGCCGACAAAAGACGTGCACAGATCAAGCAACAGGCCCTCTTGGTACAGCAAAGGGCTGCTGATGATGCTGCAAATTCAACTGCTACAGCTGGAGACTCTACTGCAGAACCCACCGAACGAGCTCATGCCCCCTCTGCGTATACAGAAAAGCCACCTCTTGTTTGCAGCCAGGAGTGCATGGCATGGAGGGCAAATAGTACCTTTACAGCTTGTGCATCACTCTTCATTGCCCTCCCAGGTCAACTTCGCCAGCTACGGTCTTTGCCTCAACATTTTCCGGATGTTCACCCTATGATCTGGCTGGAGAGCAGTACCTTTTGTGTCTTCTGGTTGTTGATGGTCAGGCTATACTTCTGCATTGATGGAGTGCAGAAGCTGCTGCAGGCATGGTGCCTCCTGTTGATCAGGCTGCGCTGCAATATTGCTGCCATCACTTTTTCAGTTGCACAGCCTGCACACTGGATCGATCATTTGTGGCAGTGGATGCAAACTACACGCTCTTACCTTTACTGGCAGCATTTGCGGTACATGAATAATCTTCAACATCTTGGTTCTTCAGCTTCTATAATCCTTCATTACATTGGGACGATCACACCTTTTCCGAATGAGCCTCCGGGTCCCAAGTCCCGGAACGACCCACAGGCCAGCACTCGGTGCTTCTCTACTTCTTCGTTTCGACTGGTCTGGTTTCGTTTTCTTCTTTTCTACTTTGTTATCAATGGGGTCGTAGGAGCGAGGGTTGCCTCTGACGCCACAGGGGCAGGATCACAGGAGCCAAGCGCGACTGTGACAAGCGGCGGAAGCCTTACCACACGGCATGGGAAGAGAGCGTTTCACAGAGCCCAGCAGCGGGCACAGGCAGTTGGGGGCACGTTTTATAAGGGACGATGGTGCACAGCGAAATCGCTTCAAGTTCAAGGTCCTCCCGTCTCGTTCTCCCCTGAGTTTTCTACTTCTAGACCAAGGAAAGGTGCGTTTCGTGGTACACAGACGAATTATCACTCTCGCTCAATCAACTTTATTACCTGGAACAGCAGTGGCTTGAGCTCTGGTGTCCTACAGGAATTTTTACTGTGGACGGATACGCTGCCGGCTTCTTCCCGACCTCATGTTATCCTGATACAAGAATCACACTGGCGATTTACGTCAGAATATCGCCACGGGTCTTGGCTGGCCTTCCATAATGGGGTATCTGAATCTTCGCAGGATAGATATGCTGGCTTGCTCACTCTTGTTCGCATTCCAGGTGTCACTCCGGATCATGTTCGCGTGCACAATGTACTGCAAGGGCGGCTGACACATGTGCGAGTTGATCTCCCTCATCGCAACTTGGATATTGTCCATGTGTATCAACATCCCACCACATCGGATCCCAGTCGGACTATCCAAGACAAGCGCAGAAGATTATTTCAGCGTCTCGATGCGGTTGTTCAATCAATGCCGGGCCGCAACTTTTTGGCTGTTGGAGGTGATTTCAATATTGCGTTGCCTTTTGCCCCACCTCATACTGGAAGCTCCCTCGTTGCACCATACCCAACACAGTCTGAGCACACTGCGGCCAATAATGCACTATTGCGCATTCTTGAGCGACACTCCTTGCAGGCGGTCAACACTTTTCACTGTCGGCCATGCTACACATATCAACATTGCGACAGTCGCACCCAAATTGGTTTTTTACTGGTCCGGCAACATGATGCCACTGCCCGTGCCAAACAGGCCCGACCAGTTTATGACCAGGTTTTGATGGCGTGGCGGGACACCAAGCATCATCCTGTCCTTGCAGAATTTTCTTTGCCATATACTTGGTGGCCCAAGAAACCGACAGTCACGCCGTATGACAAGAAAGCCATGCTCGCAGCTTACAACACTCAGACAGATGCATATGCCTCCTTTGCTTGTGATGCGAGTGAGACCGTCAGTAACCTTCTGGACAGCTCCTATGATGACATTTGCTCGGGCTTGCTTCAGGTCTGTAGTCGGCATTTTCCTCCCACTGGATCGCAGGCACTCCAGCCCTGGCAACATCCGCTTGTATCAGGTTCCATTCGGACTATGTGGCAGCACTTCAGATCAGCACAGTTATACAAGCAACGCCATGCCTTTGATTTGCCTACGTGCTTTGCACAGTGGTTTCATCTCTCTAAATTTCGATCGATGAGGAAACTCACACAATCTTATGGTCGCCAAGTGAAGAGGTCTCGGTATCTTGATCAAATCCAGAAGGCGGAGGAGGCTGCGAATGCACACAACCCTTATGAGTTGTACCGCATAGTTCGTCGTCTTGCTCCCAGGCAGCGCTATCAGACCGTGCAGATCCGAGACGAAGACAATAGTATCATTTCTCATGCCAGAGAACTGGAACAACTACGGGTACACTTCACCAAGGTCTGGAGTCTTCCAACGAACTGGAAGTGCCCCACTCTGCGCAGTCGATCTGATGTTATGTCTCACATGTCTTTGCAGGAAGATATCTACGTTCCGCAGACAGACAAGCTTCTGGTTTGTGCTTCCTCCATTCCACCCTACAAGGCACTACCCAAAACACATCCGATTGCGCCTGCTTTTAGGGCGGTTGCAGATCTGCTTGGTCAGAAAGTTCTCAGTTTGCTTGGTCGCGAGTTCCGAAAACAGATGCCAGGCTCCTGGAATCTTACTCATGTGGCTTTGATTCCCAAACCGGGCAAGAAGGTGGGCGCCATATCCTCATTGCGACCAATTGGCCTCCAGGATCCTGTTGCCAAGTGCTATGTGAAGGTTTTGGCGGATGATCTCAAACCTTACGCGATGACATATCTCCGGCGCATCCCTCAACACGCTTACCTGGCCTATCGCTCAACCTACACCGCTATAGTTCAGGTGACAGATCACTGTCGTCGGGGTCGAGATCTTTTGGCCTCTTACGCTCATAACCTTCACCCAAATTTCTGTTGACTTGTCCCAGGCCTTTGACACGGCGCCGTGGGCTCTGCTGGAACAGGCCCTGAATCGCACTGCAGCACCCAGCGACCTGAAAGGACGTATCATGGAATGGATCACGGGTACTACCTATGTGCTTGAGCACCGTGGATCGAGGGTCAACATTCCTGCTGAGAGAGGCGTGCGCCAAGGCTGTGTGCTTAGTCCTTTGCTGTGGAGTCTCTTTACTGGACTCATATATGAAGAATTTCAGTACATTGTTCAGGGATCTGGTCTCTCACCGGACATTGTCTTCTTTGCTGATGACAAGCACTTGGGCTGGCTACTACGAAAGCCTCAGGAACTGGCCCTGGCCCTGGAACAATTTGGCAAATTTCTTTCTTTGCTACGATCCTTCGGACTCCAAGCCAATCCCACGAAAAGCAAGGCTATACTGTCTATGCGGGGCTCTATGTCTCAAAGTCTTCGTCGTTTGTGGGTATCACTGTATCGAGGCGAGAGCTGGCTGCGTATTCCGGTGGGACTGAGCAATGAATACATACCTTTGGTGCAGCAGATTGATTACCTGGGTATTGTCCTTTCGTATGGAAGATTTGAAGACCTCAGTTGGAAGCGTAGGTTCGGTGTCTCTCAGGCCAGCTATGAACGTCTTCGCAAGATTCTCTTGGGCCACCATGTGTTGTCTCTGAAGCATCGCATACAATTGTGGCGAGCTGTTGTTCTATCCTCTGCTTGCTATGGACTTGTTGGTGTGGAGCCAATCTGGTTATGAACGCTTACACGGGATGTGCATGAGGCATATGCGCGCCATCGCACGAGCTCCCCGACATCTCACTCACGAAACCAATGATCACCTGCTACAGCGACTGGGGGTACCGGCACTTGGTGTGCACCTTCATCGTGTTGCCGTTCGGGCCTGTGATTATCATCTTTCATTGTCCCAGCATCTGGATTCATCGGATATTGTCTGTAACTCGTTGTATGCCGATTGGTATGGCACCTTATCAAAACAGATTGAGCAAGCTGTGGAGAGGACGAACCTGCTCACTGTCACCTCTGTGCAGGATTCCACTGACCTTCCGTATTCGTGCGAATTCTGTGAACGCACCTATGCAACTATGCGGGATCTGCGAGCACATCAAACGAAGATGCATTCAGATGATTTGCCTGAGGACTGGAACCGGAGTCAGGTTACGCTTGAAAATGTCCGCACGTATGCAGTTGATGGTATGCCCACATGTTCATTCTGTCTTCGTGATTTCAAGAACTGGCAGAATTTGTACACACACTTACTGCATTCACGTTGCTCAGCAGCGACAGCAGGGTTCGAATCAGTAGCGGCCACATCGACCTCCTCTACCACGGCCCAGCCCTTTGTCCGGGACTCTGCTTTCTTGGCTAAACTTCGCCAACATGGTCTTCAACCTTTGCGTAAAGCGGCTGGGGTATTGCAGGAGCTTCGACATCACTGCTGTATTTGCAGGCAATGGCTGGTGCACTCAGATTATGTTTGCTCGCACTACAAGAAAACACACGTGGCTTTGTGGAAGGAATTTGAATCCCGTGTACGAGCCCTGGTGCGCCCTAGCTATTTGAGTGCACAATGTCCATACTGCTTGCGTCGGCCCTCTCGCAAGGGTCGCCACAGATGTCCAGTTCTTATGCAGGTACATCTGGCCATATTGCAAGATGGACGAGAACCTCCGCGAGGGTCAAGAGTTGGCACCTCCCAGCCGGGAGGAAACCAAGTATTTTACGGACATGTTTCCAAAGCCACAGTCCCCCACCCAGATACCGGAGCAACCGGCTCCCATGGATACCAGTGCACAGCCAAAACGTGGCACTTTCGACGACTCTTCGGCCAAGGAGGAGGGACAGCAGAAAGCCCTCAAAGCGACGACAAGGATTGCACCAAAAGTAGAACCAGCGATGACGGTTTCCACAGCAGCTACACCGACCGGCTCCCAGAGCTCCCAACCATTGCAATCCCTGCCATCAGCACCCTCGACAGCAGACCAGGACACACAGCAGAAGGGCAAGAACAAGGGGAAAGAGGACAAGGACAAGGGCAAGGGCAAAGGCAAAACTCCAAAGAATGGCAACAACGGTCCCTCGCAGACTTCTTCAAACCATCAGGCCAACCTGGTGTCAGCCATAGGTCGTCTATGTCTGAGACACGAAGATGCGATCGCGATACAGCAAGCCAACCAAGGATATATCTTTTTCCTACGCACGACAGGTCCAGAGTCCATCATCCAGCCCTTGGCTCGAGTATCGCAAGCGTGGAATCAAGCCAAAGAAACGGAGATACCCCGACATCCTCTTCGCATCGTCCTTCTGTCAACCCTCCTGGAAGCTACCATAGAGCGTGTCGAAGCGGCCGTGAAACTCACGGACAAGAGGGAAGCAACGATTCAGACAGGCCTAGTGATCAACCAGGGCGGCGAGCTGTATTGGCCATACATCCAGTGGAATCAAGAACAGCGCACGGAGGAAGTGATTTCCACGGATCAGGTTCGGCCGCTGGAACATGCGCGACTACTCAGGAGATTGAATCACCTAAGGGACTCCATCACGCCGGAGAACATTCTGAGGTGTCACGGACACCACAAGATTGCGGAGAATCTGGAAACCGAGGTCTACCGTCTGGTTCTGGAAGTCGAGACGGTGGGCGAAGAAGCCCAGAATATTCACGAATGGCTTCGTCTTCTTGTGAATTGCACGGCTTGGAAGCTGATCGGGGGCCGGTTCCGGAGGGGGAGATTGGGGCGCTCGCCTCTGGCGAAGCGTCTGGGCGAGCTGTTGGGACAATGAGTTCAGGTTCAAATGTTGCCCTCGTTACCCTGCGACCTCCTCGACTTTACAAGGCGCCGAACATGATGTTACAGAACCCTCACAACGTCTGTTATGCGAACGCGGTTGCCATTTCACTTGCCTGGCTTGGATACGTATATCAAAATTATACTCATGTTGGTGGCAGGTGCTCTGGATGTCTGAGTGTTGTGCTTGGAGCCCGGATGCTTCTTCTTATGAATTCCCTGCCGTGGCTGATGGTATTTACTGACTGGCCCCAGGCTCATGAGCAGCATGATGCAGCTGAATTTCTCACTCACTTCCTCTCCAAGGCTGCTCCGAATGTTTTTGCAGGTCTGTGGCAGTCCCGAGCGGAATATGAGCATGGTATTCATGTTCAGGAACGTGGTACATTGATGATTCCTCTGGTCCTGGACAGGTTGGGCACCGATCTTCAGTCCTGTATTGATATGTGGGAAGGTCAGTATGATGTAAGACCAAACGTCTGGCAACCGTTTGTCCGTGCTCTTTCTACATTTGGTAGCGATCATGGCATGGTTTTGCAGCTTCAGCGGTTTGTGCCTACTGCATCCGGAGCAAGCAAGGTCTTTGATAGGGTTGTCATCCGTCCAGGCCAAACAGTAGCTGCACCGGTGTTTGAGAATGCTGGTTCCACGTCTACATACATGGTCAGTTGTCGGCTTGCTTTTGTGATATATCACATTGGTTCTACCATGCTTGCTGGTCACTACAAAACTGCCCTATGTGTTCCTGGTACATCACTGGGATTTCGAGATGGCTGGAAATTTGTTATATGCAACGATGCCCAAATGCCTTATTTGGCCTCTGCACAAGACTATGCTGAGATTGAGAGTGGTTGCTATCTACTTGGGCTGTATCGCTCCTCGACCTCAGCTGCAGGATGACTTTTCTGACCTCATCGGCCACTGCGGCTGGACTTCGTCTTTCTGAGCGAGCGTGAGACACTGTCGTTTTGCGGCGAGTGACCATTTAGTGCAAAGTCCTGATACGGCTCATTTTTGTTTCATTGAACATCTAACCAATGCTTCGGTTTTCGGTCCTCGCGAGATGTATTGTGCCTTTGACACTCTCTTGCTGAACTTGAACTGTTTCATGCCACACCGTGATTCTTCCCCCACTCGACTGCCTCATACTCTACTTGGTATCCTTGATGTATTGTTCCGGCTTATAGCTGTCACTGGGAGAATTACACTGGCCAAGATGGCCATACGTCTTCTGCCAAGGATTCGTCAGGTGCATGAAGCCATATGGGACGTGATACTTCTTTATGTTCCTATGTGCTGTGTGATTGCCATGAGGCTCACCTGACAAGCCTGCGCCTCTGCATGCATCGGACTTCTCACGAGTGAAGGCCATGTGTGTGGAAGGAAGTCTGATTTCCTCTCTAGGCTGTGGGTTGGTATCGATTGTTCTTGTGACTTCATTGAGTTGTTTGTCTCTTTATCAATTTGTTGCCCCCAGCCTATGACGGTCACCGGAGGACTTTTACTCCTGGGCCATGAGGGTCTCACGCACGATCTGCCGGCCGATTTGTAATGTGCATAGCACTGCATATGGTGGTCAGCGTCTTGGTTTAGCTAGTGGTTTTGTTTCTCATCTGGCCTCAGCACTCATGCACCACCGGCAGCACGCCTTTTGCGAATATGTATATCTGCTCATCTTCATTGGTCCTACATCTTTATTTGGCTCTTTGTCGCCGATTGTAATTGTTATGTAGTTCTTATCGCTTTACAATCAAGATGAGCAGAACTCCGGTACCTCACATGCTTTTCCATGGGACAGATGACCGACTGATAGCAATGCATTGTCTCCTACTACGTCACCAGTGGAACCTGCTCTGTGGTCATGATAGACTTTGTGCGTTGTCGGTTTATACTTTCATTGCTGCTACCTAATGTCTAAACTGGTATCTCAGAGCATGGTGCAAGACGGCTGTGACGGCCTCACGTTGAATTGCTGCTCGTTGATTTGTAAGGTGAGTTGAGATACCAATGCTGAGCAATACTCTCTGCAGCTTACACATCACCTGTAATCTTGTCATATGCTTGGCGTTTATCTCATTCACATGGCGGCATTCCTCACTACGATTGATTTTTATGCTTCCGGTCTTCAATAGCTGGTGAAGCCAATCTTTCGTGCACGGTGGACTGATGGCCACAGGCATTATGCTGCCACTTGACTTGTAAGGTGACCTGAACCCTGGACCCCCGCAATGTGCTATGTTTGTTCACGGTGTTGTTATGGTTCACTTCCTGGGATCCAGCTTTGGTCACCACTGGCAGCTTCTCTGACTATCACTTGACATGGGCCTACGCCTGACTGTCTTTGATCACTAATTCTGAAGCCATTTCGACGTGGCGTGATCGATCATGGGAATGATCTTTACATTGTTGGTCTCTCACTATGCATACTTTGTATTACCACACTGGTTCTTCCGCCACGTCAGCCTCTTTCACTCTTTCAACTTTACATAAGCTGTTTTGAAGGCTGGATCTCCCATCTGTTATTTCAACACTCTTATGTATACCTTATGTCCGCTTTGGCGCTGTTTGATACGATGGGCCTTCAATCAGCCTGTGTTTGTTCCTTCTCGGGTCTTCGGGCCGGGGAACACCGCTGTTGGAGTGCGTGCTTGGTTCTTCGGAACGGCGCACGGCTCCGTTCTCTTTCTTTCTCTCTGCTATGGATCACAAAGTGAGCGTTCTACCTGAACGCCGTGCAATATGCATGTCCTGCGACTCGCTACGTTCGGACTCCGAGCAGCGCTGCAAAGTCAAAAAAGTTTGGCGACTCTCAACACATTCAGTTGTCGGATCTCTACATTGACTTCGATAGCTTTAGAGGTGCATCTTACCGAACGAAAACACAAAAATTTATGGCATTTGGCTGCCTTTTCTCAGGCCTCTTGAGGCTACCACGCACGCAATGCTGGCTTTT